ATCACTCGCGTAAATTACAAATTCCCAAAAAATGCAAAATAAAATAACCGCGACCATGGCCTCGCGTAAATTACATCCATGGAATAAAAACGAACAAATGAAATAATAACGAGTTGAAAAAAAACAAATTAACGAGGGTTAGACAAAAATGAAACGGCTAAATCAAAACTTATTACTTTTTGAGTTTTTATTGAGAAGAGGAGAGGAGAATTAATTTCATGCTTAAATGGAGAAACTATTCTAATTATTTACTAAAAATTTTAATAAAGAAACTGGTTTTAATTTTAATGAAAAAATGTCTTGAAAAAAATGTTTTAATTTTATCTAAAATAAATGTTTTAAATTTTAATTAAAAAAATGTTTTAAATTTTAATGAAAAAATTTGATTTAAATTCAACGAAAAAGGTTTTAATTTTTGTTTTAGTAAAAGAAAGACCATTTTTTAATTTTTGTGTTAACTTAATGAAAAATGGTTTTAATTGGAAAAAAGCTTTAATTAAGAAAAACTGTTTTATTTAGAAATATGTTTTTAAATAAAAAATGGTTTAATTTTTGAAAAAACTTTTTAGAAAGATCTTAATTTTTAAAAAAATTGATTACGTTATGTTTTTTTTGTTGAAATAGCTTACCTAAACTTAATTGCATTATTAATTACAAACTACATAGTTAATATAAATGAAAAAATAAACAATTGAATAATAAAATAAAAAAATGAAACGTAAATAAAAAGGCTTCTGCCGTTTTCTCCATGGATGACTATCAAAACTTTTCCTCTCCTTTAATCCTTGCATGTCATCTTCTATTTATTCTTCCCATTAATCTACAATCAATGAACAAAACAACACACAAAAATCATAAAATGCCGTAAATCAAAGGAAAGAGAAAGCTTACGGTAACGACGATGATGTTGAACGAACTGAGCCTTCGCCGTTGGGACTTTTTGCTCGACGGTAGCGCTTGGCCGATGATGAATTCAAAGCTTTTAGGGTTCTTCCAAAAAAATTCCCTGTTTTGATAAATCGTGAGAACGGCCGCCGTTTTTCTTTTATCTCCTATTCCTTTTATCAAATGCAACTCATGTTTAATATATGTAACAAATTAGAATAAAAATAGAAAAAGTTAGAATAAAAATAAAAGAAACAAAACAAAAAGTGAAGAAGGTGGGATTCAAACTCTCAACCTCTCACACTCACAACTCCTTACACAAGGTCTATTGCCAATTGTGCTATTTTATTCATTCAAAATAAAGTGGCACTAGAAACCCTGTAAACTAAAAGAGCGCGCCACATGATATTTTCTTGCAACAAATCAAACAACTGCACAACCCGTTAGTGGTTAGTTTAAACGCAATGCAAAATGAAATGGGATGCAAGATGAAACGACTAATCTTAGGGCAAAATTTAGGGTATTACAGTGTGCACTACACACAAGTGTTGAATCATGTGTAGGTTTTTCCTTTGGACGGAATGCGATGCGAAAAAAATAAATTACTGTAAAATAAATGCAGAAGGAGATAAAACAGATAAAATGAACATACACACGCATGAAAGCGCTAAGGTGTGTGAAAGTGTGAATGTGCGGAGGCGTGCGCGATTGAATTCGATTACGATGTTGGTTCCTTTTAAGCGGATTGATTTTACGAGTAATGTTGAATTAACTTATTATTAGCGAGATTGATTTTAGGGGGAGATTATTATTTTAATTATTATACTTGGCAATGATCTATAGAGGGGATTATAAATAAATTAGATTTGGGTAGAAATGATTTTCAAATAAAAGGTGGGTAGGAAAAGGTTTTGTTAAATATGTGTGTAGTTTTAATTATCGTTAATAATCATAAATTGTTTTTAAAGTTATGAAATAAATCTTTATATTTTTAAATAAAATACACTTAGTTACTATCATATTTTTTTAGGAAATCCTAATAAATAACTAAAGTTATATTATAAAAGTTTTATTGGATAGTTAAATAGGTTTTTTATTTATTTTATAAAAGATCACTTATCTACATTATAGAAAAGGTTTTTTATTTTAATTAAATAAAAATAATTAATTAATTAGATTTTGAAAGGGAAAATTAAATGATTAGAGATTATTTTTTAAACCTAATTAAAGATTAAAGGGTTTTTTGATTTAAAAAGAACAAACAAACCGATTTTAGTTTTGATTTTATAAGATTAATTAAATAAATAAGTTAAAACGTGGGATTTGGTGTGATGTGGTGCACGGGACTTATTATGAGCGCGCGAAGTGAGCCGTATGATCCTGTGGTAGGTGAATCGTGTGGTGGAGACGTGAGGGACCACGGTATTACCGTGGTCGTGCGTACATCTCATAATGTTACAATACTCAGCAACATGAAATGAAAAAAAACAACAGAGAGAGCAAAGAGACGGCGGAGAACCCTAATCCCCCCCCCCCACGCCCTTCACTCGCTCGCCTTCCCCATTTGATCTCCGTTCGAATTTCACCCTTTCTTCATCGCTGCGTTTCCCTGTACCTGAAATAAACACTAAAACGTTAACCGTTCAACAATTTAAAAAGGTGTGAAAGAATCTACCGAAGATTGGTGGCGGCGGGATGTGCGACGTGAGTAGCGTTCCTCCGGAGGTCTTCGCGATGGACTTCGGAGACGTCGATCTTCGAAGGCTTAGCGTAAGATGAGTAGTTCCTCCTCTTCTTCTGATTTGATCTGCTTTAGGGTTTTTTCTATGATTTTGCTGAGTTTCGATTTTTCTCCCCAAAAAAGGTCTCTTCTTCGATTCCAACCCCCCCCCCCTTTTTATAAATGTTTTGGGCTTTGGATCCTTAAATCATTGATTGAATTTCTGATTGAAACCTTCCATTCTTGTGTCAATTGGATTCAAAAACCTTCCTTTTGTGTCGATTGAGTTTAATGTTGTTGATGGAAGATCAATTTCTGCAATTTGATTTGGGGAATCCTTAGTTGATGCTGAGGAATCTGAATAGGATCTTTTTAACATAGGTTAAAGTTTTTTGGTTTTTTTGTTAATTGTTGTGTCGATGGGGCCCAAAAAGTACCCGACAATAATTATACAAGTTGTATTTTAGTTTACCGGCTATTGTAAGTAGTGGTTACCGGCTTAAATAGTAAGTCTTTTCTTCCCTATATAAAGGGATTTCAGTTTACTTTGTAAGACACACCTTTGAATAACAAGTTTGAAGTTTCTTATAACATTGTCTCTACCATTCACTTTCTATACTTCTCTTTTATACAAACTATTCCGATCTTGATTCTGCTAAATACAAACTTTGGTATCAGAATAATTATACAAATAAGATTTGAAATAGTATCAATAGATACTGTAAATATACGAAACCACATTACCATCCTTGTAATGCGAAGATCGCGTCTAAAGAAAATACTGATTCATACTTCCTAATTATAGAAACAAATTAAACATAATAATAATAATAATAATAATAATAATAATAATAATAATAATAATAATAATAATAATAATAATAATAATAATAATAATAATAATAATAATAATAATGTAACACACACTACAATCCTTGATTTCAATATATGTTAACACATCTTCAAATATCTTGCTCTCAGCAACACACAGTCTGCTAAAGGAAATGCCGTCAAGCTTCAAACAACTGAAATCTTCTTCAACGAATTTCTCCGCAAAATGCCTCCTAATTTTCTCCTTGTCTTCCCTCACTGAATCCACCAAGCCTACAACAGTATTAATAGAGCCTATGAAGTTTGTGCACCTTCTCTCCTTCATTGCTTTATGAAAAAATCTGCTATTAGAATCTCCGTCGCTATCCCACTTCAGCCTAATGTTTTCTCTAATTTTAAGTTTCTGCCAAAAGAACTTTCCACCACCTCAGAAACATCACTGTCCCTACACATCTCAAGCAATGCATCTGCTTCATTAATCCTGTTTTTCTCAACCAATGCATCTGTTTCATTAATCCTGTTTTGCCCTTGTAATGATTAAATAATATTGTAAAACCACAATTCTGACACATATTTTTCAATAAATTATTGTTGACACATCATTTTGATAGATTCATATAAATTGAACGAATAAAAAAAGTATTGAAAAGTGTGTTAATAGTAGTATGTTTGTAAAACTCTTCAATCATGTGAGAGCAAACGAAAGGAACGTTCCCTTCATTTTCTTTCATTTAATTATTATATCATTTTCTTGGCAATACCAATTATGATTCTTATTTCTAAAAACAGAATGGTGTCGCAATTCAAAGCCTTCAATGTTTTCAGAAACAAAATTTAATTCCTAGCACTGACATCTAAGAAATGTTTTTTTTTCCGGATATTTGTACTTATATTTAATTTATTTAATTTTTAAAATTATTATCGAAATCGTCGTTTTAAATTATTATCGATATCGTTGTACTAGTGGTAGAGTGTTTTTTGAGATATCGTACTTCATATATTACTTGGTCTATCCGAGACCAAGTTATTTAAAACCTTGGTCCAGTATGGGTTCATGCCATCTCAATAATAGAAATGAAAAATCCAATTCTAATTCAACTACTTATATTAACTACTAAATAAAGTTATTTATATTAAACTCAAACTATATTTGTTTTGTTATGGTCTCTTTGAAAACGATTTTAGTACCGACACAACAACGATAATTTTAAAAATAAATAAATTACATATAATTACAAGTGTCCACGTGTACATGGACACAATACACATATTTTTAAAAGTTTTTTTTTGTTAGATAAGAAATGAAACATTTCCCATGATTTCTCTGACATACAAAAGGTGTGAAATTAGGCCTAGTTTGTCCATTTCTCATTCATTGAGCTCCAAAAGTTTCTCAAGAAGCTGTATGTTCATTTCTTTGCTGAACTCAACTCAACCATTTTTTTTAACTTTCTTCAAATCTAAAACAAAAGCATGTCTTTGAATTGATATATCTCTTTGTGATAAATCTTGTTCTATATATATGTTGATATAAAGGTGATAAAAGTGGAATTCTGTTACAAAAATGGAGGAGGAGCATATGAAAGTACCATTGTTGGAGAAGAAGCAATACTATGAGGATTGTCCTGGTTGTAAGGTGGAACAAGCCAAAGAACTAAACCATAGTGTATCCATTATAAATCTTTTGATTATTTGGATGATTGTGTTATCTGCTAGTAAGCATTATTGAACTTCTTGTTTTTCAATAACTGATTCATTTGCGGTGTTTAGGACTTTTCCTTTTGGATAAGTCCTGTGAGGATCTTTTGGCCTTTTCTGATGAAGTTTTTTTTTGTTGATGTAATTTTCAGCACTTCCTGCATCATCACTTTTTCCATTCCTTTATTTCATGGTGAGTTTCTATCTTCTAGGATTTGTTGTATAGCTTCCCATGTTTTGGATATACACCTTATTTGGAGCTTATAGCAGAAGCGCTTGTCATTGACAAAAGATAAAAAAGTGTAAATTGCTTTTGTATGAACTGTTTTCATAAACTATTTTGAAGATTTTATGAAAATAAGTTGAAATCAGCTTATGAACATATAGTATTTTATTTCTTATTTCAAGTAAGTCAAGCAATATAGTTAATTGATGCAACACTTATTTTTCAGGTAAGAGATTTCAATGTTGCAAAAGAAGAAGCTGATATTAGTTATTATGCTGGTTATGTGGGTAAGAGTTATTTGTTTATTTTGTTTTTAGTATTTTTAAAAGTATAGTATCATAATTTTAAATTGATAAAAAAAATTAGTATGATTGATGATTGAAAATGTTGTAGGATCTGCATACATGTTTGGAAGAGCTTTAACATCTGTATTATGGGGAATGATATCTGATCGATACGGTCGAAAACCTGTTATAATTATGGGGGTCATCGCAGTGTAAGTATCTAACAATGAATCAGATTCTTTCTTTAAGTTGTATTATGCCATTTCCCTCATGATTATTGGTATTCACTTGATTTCAGAATCATACTCAACACACTATTCGGCCTTAGTACGAGTTTTTGGATGGCTATTATAACGCGATTTCTTCTCGGAAGTTTAAATGGCATACTTGGACCCGTGAAGGCTTATGCTACTGAACTTTTTCGAGAAGAGCACCAAGCTATAGGACTTTCTACTGTAAGTGTTACAAATTATTCTGTGATCTAGTACTAGTCCTTAATATACTGCATCTCCATCATAACAATTAATGTGATATGATTTCAGGTTAGTGCAGCTTGGGGCATAGGTTTAATCATTGGCCCCGCGTTGGGTGGATATTTGGCTCAGGTACTGTTTTCATTCTCCGTATATGTAGGGCGTCTTTGAGGACATGCAAGACAGACTACCGACTAAGTCCAAAAAAGTTCACGGTTAAACTCTAGTTAACTAAGGCCTCATAAAGTATTTGCTACGTTTAAACTATGGTTGAACTGTGGCTACCCAACACAGGGCTTCTTAAAACTTGAACGACTGTGATGGTATGAAATGTAGGTAGTGACCCAAGAAAGTGCACACTTTCTATTTGTTTCTCTAAAAATATTTTAGAAATTTTCTTCTTACAGCCAGCAGAAAAATATCCGGAAATATTTTCAAAGGGTTCCTTTTGTGACAAGTAAGTGAACTTTTCTTACTTTACAAAATCAAAGGATTTTCAACTTTACTGATTATTTGTTAAAACAAATCATTTTGCAGGTTTCCATACTTCTTACCATGCTTTATAATATCAGGATTCGCACTTGCCATAGCTATTGTCTGCATTTGGATTCCGGTGTGTATCTTAAACATATCAGTTTAGTCCTTTACATTATTAATATTTCAAAATGATTCTTAGAACAGGAAAATGTTAATCAAGTTCGTCTCTCTATTTGAACGTGTTATCAAATTATTCTTTAAACTGTAGGAAACACTTCACAATCACAGTGGAAACGAGTCTAGAGACGATGCTGAAGCTATAGAAAATGGGAGCATAAGAGTAGTTAAAGAAAAGACAGTTCAAAAGAATGAAAACCTCTTCATGAATTGGCCTTTGATGTCATCTATCATTGTGTACTGTGTCTTCGCACTTCATGATGTTGCTTATCAAGAGGTAAATGTTTCATTATTGAACACTATTGTTAAATATCACAATAACATAGCAGAATTTTAACAATTGCTAATGTTCCTCGATACGGTTTTAGTGTAAAAAACATCTACTCATCTTTATTTCTTTAGGTTTTCTCATTATGGGCTGTTAGTCCTCCAAAGCTAGGGGGTTTGAACTTTACAACAGATGATGTTGGCAATGTTCTTTCAATTTCAGGTGCATCTCTGTAACTTATAATAAAAGTGTCTCGTTGTTAAGGCATAGGCATAAATCATTAGATGAATTTTTATGTAATTTCTAACTTGTGAAATTATTAGGACTTGCACTTGTGATCTACCAACTTTTCATATACCCGTATGTGGAAAAAACTTGTGGACCTATCAGCTTTGCTCGCATCACAGGGGTAAGTTTTCATCTAATTGTTGCATCCGCGATTGAAAATTCTGCATTTCATTGCTTGTTATATGAATTGTGTCATACTTTTGGTTCTTTATGCAGATTCTTTCAATACCACTTTTGCAAAGTTACCCCTTCATAGCATTGTTGTCGGGCACAGCCTTATACGTAGTCATTAGTATTGCTTCCGTCTTCAAGAATGTTATGTCTGTAAGTGCATCTTTTTATTTGTTTATTTAATCATTTATACGCATATGCTTATGTTTTTCTTATCGGTTCAGGTGACGATTACAACGGGTTTATTCCTTATACAAAACCGAGTAGTGGTAAGTGTATTCATAAATTATCTTTTGTTTCAACTCAAAGTTTGATAATAGTTTTTGATGGAGTTGTTGCATATTGATATTGAAAAACAGGAACAACACCAAAGAGGAGAAGCTAATGGCATATCAATGACATGCATGTCTCTATTCAAAGCTATTGGCCCTGCAGCAGGCGGTACAATGTCAGTGTATTCCTCTAATTTCTTACTTAGCTGTCATATAGGAGCGACAAATGTGTGTACTCGTCCTGTTTAGGTTTGTACCGCAAAAGTATGTAAAAAATCAGAACGTTAGAACATAGTTGAGGGTGCGAGCCTAAAACTTTTCCAAGCGTCAGAAAAATGAAGGGAGAGCGTATTGACGTATGGGCCTTGCACACTTAAATGTTAAAAGTTAAAAAACTCATTTTAATGCACGCACCCGCAAAATTACAGTGTATACATATTACAAAGTGCGGTTCTAAAACCGTAACTCGTCCAAACAAAACGTGGGCAAAAGTGGTCCGGCCACCTCTATTGTCGTAATTCAAAAATGTAAATGAAAATCTCTTTATAAGATTAATATTTCAAATTATAACTGCTATAAAACTTTTCATAAGTACAAGTTTTGATACACATGTTGTTTTACTTTAGTTTTCTCAACTTTCTTCTTCTTCTTCTTATTATTATTCTGGTCAATGCAGATTAACTTGGTCACAAAAGCGTATGAATGCTTCTTTCCTTCCAGGTACTTGTCATGTTTCAACCATAGTCATTCAACTTATTTTCTAGCTTTAAATGTCTTTTCACTTAATTAGAAGTCCACTTTTTCAAAAGCATAAAGTCTTTTTATTCATATTTAATTGCAGGCACTCAAATGGTATTTTTCTTCCTGAATTTAGTTGAAGGACTTGGAATAGTTTTGATGTTTAAACCATTCCTGAGTGAAAAGAAGAAAACAACCTCAGATACGTTACATTGATTGAATTATGATGTAACACTTTGTCGTAATTAGACATTGATGGTAACTAGGTGTATTATTAGTTTTATTATTGCTAATCTAATAGCAAACAAACACCAAATAAAAAAGCAAATGAGAAAGAATTAGTAACAATTAAGGGGGAAAAAACAAGAGTTGAAAATGAAATATAGAAAGTTATAAGATTCTCAAATTGAAAGTGACCTCAAGTGTAGTACTATCTAGTTTCCTGTAAAGTTAATTTTCTCAATTTTTAGTAAGCTTTTGTTCTTACGTGTTTCTGCCGACTTCAACTCCTCAACTCAACCAAAACACCACGCCTTTGATTTCATTATATAGTACTACTATCAGTTTTACATTTTTTTTTTCACTTCAAAAATATCTTGGTTTTAAATCTGGTTAAAATTTATTAATTATACCGATATTGCTCTCGTCCATTTAAATATTAAAAAATTGCCATTTATGTTTCTCAACCAATATCTCTATTTCATCTCTTACAAATGTTTAGAGCCATCGAATATAGATACTCAACAAAGTAATATAATTTAGTGCGGAAACCAAAAAATCATACAAGTATGTATATAATTAAATAATCTACTAGTTTTAAGAATACATGTAATCCATTCATGTTGCCAGTAAGTAATCCTTAATATTAATGTGATATTAATTCATATTTGAACTCATATCAAATTAATTAATTAATTAATTTTTAAATAAATTTAGTTAATCTTTTAATTCTATTTAATTACTTAATTATTTAAAACACTTGATAAAATATATATATATATATATATATATATATATATATATATATATATATATATATATATATATATATATATATATATATATATATATATATATATATATATATATATATATATATATATATAATAGGACTCGTCTAGGATGATAACTGTCGGTCTTTTCAAGAGAGGTGGCAACAACATGTTGTCTAAGGGAAGGGTATCACCTCGTTCTAAAATTTTCTTATCGCCTAATCATGAGAAGTGTGCAATACGACATTTCTGGTTGAGAGAAGTCAAAGTCATTAACCGACTCATGTCCTCCTTATAAATGAGGATTCAACTAGAAATGTAAATGAATATCCATTGGGACGAGTACTATGACATATGTTTCCGCCCCGTTGGATAAATATAATATTCATATTTGTCCCATATTCGTGCGGATATCCACAAAACGGGTAATCTGCGGGTTTTAAGACATCCATAGATATTTTACAGATATTCATGGATAACATTTTAAAGACACAAAAAGTTATTATCATCTAACATCCGTACAATTCTCTCTCAATTTAACAACAAAATTTATTCACATTAATTTCCTTTTTTCACACCAAAACATAATAACATCCAAACATAATATTCATAAATTTCATTTTTAACCAAAACAAATAAAAGATATTATGATTGTGAGTTGTGGTTGAAGAGCGGACGACGGTCGAGTAGGAAGGGAGGCACTTGTTGGACAGAGAAATGGCGGTGTTAGTTTGTTGGATGATGAAATTGTTGAAGTGAGGTTTAGAGTATTGAAGAAGTTTAAATGTGAAATGATCAAATAGGATTTGTATGGAATGTGAAAGGTTTTTTTCAAATAAAATTTTAAAAAAAAAATAGAAGACTAATTTTTTTAGAAGATGAAAAGAAAAACTATAATAAACTAATGATATTTAAATAATTTTATAATTTATTAACAAACATAGATATTCGCGGGCACGAGCATCTGCCTCCATATTCATTAACAAACGAGTATTTAAATATCCATTTATTTTATCCGTGAATATCCATTAAGCTACCAGTCTCGTATCCGTGACGGATTTTATCCGCAAATATGCGGCGAATATGAATTTTTTTTGCAAGAAAATCCTAGGCACAAGGGCCTTTATAAATACATCTCTCCAAGAGGATAAAATGGACGAATCTTAAGCTATACAGATCACACCCCCACACACATTTATACACAAGCAACCATTTCGTAACAAGGCATTTCATCTCACGTGAGAAAGTCCTCAAAATCACTACAAAACACCACTGTACAACGTAATATACCTACTAATGCCTATGAGTCCCCATTCCCTTGCAGAAGGAACACGCACACCTAGACTTTTTAACCAGTCAGCGGGGTCCATCGTGGGATCCCGGTAAAACTAGCATGGGTCACACCTTTGCTCTAACTTTTTCCATCTTCCCTCTATGGATGGCCAGTAAAACCCACATTACAACACGAACACCATTGCCCGAGGTTTCGGTGGTAGAGGTAGCTTTAGCTCTTCTCGAAGGAGATACGCAAGACATGTGCTTCCAGCAAGTGTAATATCTCCTACTTTCCCTCGGGTGCACGAGGGAAAATCGGGGATAACATCACCTTTTCCAAGGAAGGCGCCCTCAAAGTCAACCCACACGATGATGACCCATTGGTCATAAAACATAGTAAATGGGGCATCTAGCGAGTCTTGATAGATCCTGATAGCTCCATCGTCCTGATAACTCCATCAATATTTTATTTTGGGACACCTTCCAAAAGTTGCAGCTTGACCCTAACGATGTAAAAGTATTCAGTAGCTTAATAACATGACTATTAGGAAAACTATGTACAAGTAGTGGGCCATATAACTTTGGAGACCACATGTGGAGAAGGTGCAGAAGCTAAGGAGATTGATGTCAACTACCTTATTGTGAACATCTTGTCACCGTATACCATGATTCTTGGGTGAATCGCCATCAACATGCTAGAGGAAGTTTTTTCCACCTTGTACATGGTTCTAAATTATCAACTTTCTGGATGGAGAGTTGGTTAATCCAAGGAGACCAATGGATCACCCAATAGTGCTAACAAAATAGCCTTGCGACAAGTAGGGAAGAGTTCACTCTTGTTGATGTCACCCTTTTTGAAGTTCCAAATACTAATCTCGAGTGTTGGCACCATAAATTAGTTGCGAATGCAGAAAAACTCATGCCTACCGAGGACTTGAAGGATATCCAAATATGCTCACTCGCCCATCAGGTTACAAAGATCAGCATTTCACTCTTTGAGAAGGAGGAACAAGAGCTAGTCAACCAACTCACTAAGAATTTCAACTTGTTCGCCTAGACCCCTTTTGACATGCTTAGGATAGACACCAAATTTATGAGTCATCACCTCGCCATCCACCATTCTGCCAAGCAAGCGGCACATAGGAAACATAAAGTTTACGAGGAAAAAAGAGTCGCCTTTGATAAAGAAGTGGGTAAACTATCACATGTTGGTTTCATCAATGAAATGAAATACCCTACCTGGCTAGCTAGTGTGGTTCTAGTACAGAAAACTAACAATGGGTAGCGCATGCGTGCAAACTTCAATGATCTGATAATCATTTTTCCTAAAGATCTATACCCATTTCCAGACATCGATCGCCTTATTGATGGATCTTTAAGCTATCACATGTTAAGCCTCGAGGATGCATACTCTAGGTAAAACCATATTCATTTGGATCTCTAGACGCCCCTAAAACAACCTTTATGTCGAATCATGATAACTACTATTGCAATGTCATGCCATTCGACCTTAAGAATGTTGGCCCCACCTACCAACAAATCATGGACGTTATGTTCTCCCACCAAATATGGCATAACTTGGAGGCATACGTCGACGACATGATAGTGATAACTATTGAAGGACACAACCATGGAGATTATTTGGATAATTTCTTTTAGTCAGTTAGGAAATGTGACACACGCCTGAATCTCGCAAAGTATTCTTTCAGGGTTTAGGTTAGGAAATTCCTAGGGTTCATGCTGACAAGAAGAGGAATTGAGACCAATATGGATAAATTTCGAGTAGTCATCACCATGAGAATCCCCACCAATGTCAATGAAGTGCAACATCATACACGTTTCCTAGTCACCTTATCTTGCTTCCTTTCTTGCGCATGCGACAAGAATTTCCTGTCCTTTGTTGCCTTGAAGAAGAGAGAGAGATTCAAATGGACCTTCAAGTGTGAAAAGGCTTTCACCGAGGTCAAAGCCTTCGTCGTATCACTTCCTATTCTAACTCTCCTTAGGGAGAAGTCTTCATTACTCTTTTATTTCTCAGTCACAGAGCAGACAATGTGTTCAGTCCTTGTCCAAGAGACAGACAAGACACACATGCTTGTGTATTTTCTAAGAAAGGTGCTCATAGGTGCTAAAACACATTATTAGAAGATTGAAAATTTGGCACTAGCCATCATCAGGGTGAGGAAGCTGATACAATACTTTCAGGGTCACAAAACCTTTTTAAAAGCCAACTATCATGTTCACACAGTTCTAAAGAATGCCAGATTTGGTGGAGAGGATGATATCTAGGGCGGTGGAACTCTCAGAATACGACATCCAATATGTCTCAATGGGAAGCATCAAGTCACAAGCTCTAGCTAATTTTATGATGGAACTTAGCTCTCCTAAAGACACAGAGATGCCCCTAAACTGAGCACTATTTATGGATTGTGCCTCCAACGTGAAAGGGAGCGGAACGGGAATAGTCCTCGAGGGAATGAGCGATATACTCATTGAGGAAGCATTAAAACTCGAGTTCACCGCCAACAACAATCAAGCAGAGTACAAGGCTCTTATCACTGACATGGTTCTAGCCTTAGAGATGAGAGCCTCACTAATGAAAACCAAAAGTGAATCCCAATTGATAACCAACCAAGTCTCTGGACAGTACCAGGAGAAAGAATCCCAAATGATAAAATACCTACAAAAGGTACAAAGTTTATCCTCTCGCTGAACTTCTTTTGAAATATAACATGTTCCACGCAAGTTAAAATTCAGAGCAAACCACTTTTCTAAGCTTGTCAAGTCGGAGACAACAAGTTTTAACAAGACAGTTATCCGGAAGACTCTCGCCTCCCCCAACATCGAGTCAGACGAGGTATAATCCCTAGAAGTTGTCCATGTGTTACCTACAGCCAGATGAACTTCCAATGGATGAGGGGGAAGCAAGAAAAAATCCAAAAATAGTCT